GNNACGAGCAAGACTACATGTATCCCGAGGAGAACGAGTACGGCTTGAGAGAGCACTCAAACTCTTTCCATGGGTACTCTGAGCCACCAATTGCGCGATTTCCCAGCCCATCGCTAGAGGATATGGTGAAGGCAGTAGAGGCTCACACGTTGAGATTTCTGCAAGAACACTGCGAGCCATTAGTTGAGAGAGATCCTGGTCCGTCGCTCGAGGAGATGATGAAGGAGTTGACGGCTAACACTCTTAACTTTCAGCAAAGTGTTGAGGCGAGCATCAGGAACCAAGAGGCGATCATCAAGAACCAAGAGGCGAGCATCAAGAACCATGGACTACGCATCCGAAATTTGCAAGGCCAAATTGGCCAATTGGTGGAACAAATGGACCGACTAGTGTATCGGCTGGAAACGAGTCCAATGAGTTCAAGCGTCATCCATTCATACAGCGAGGACCTCGAGGAAATTGAAGAGTGTACACACGAGCTGGAGAACGAGAAAATTACGAATATCGAGAAGAATGAGAGCGAAAAAGAGAACCAAGCTGCAGAATATGGGACTGAGCAGCAGAATACAGGGGTACCCCATACTCGACCTACTGTAGGCAAAAAGCGTACCGTTCTTCCCGCTCTTGTTCCGGTAGAAGCTGGACTGTGTCCTATGTATTCTAATATGAAGTGGGTACTGAGCAAGGATGCACTGAAGCATGTCTTGGGCCTTGATATACCTTCTCTTAAGACGATCGAGCAAAACAAAAGGTGTGAATGGGAGTTTGTTGAGGCAGTGACCGTGATCGAGCGTAGGCTGCTACACATTCTTGAGGAATTAGCATCGTGGAGAAAAGATCCGGTGAAGCACCCGACACCGAGGATAGGGGATGCCACCAAACATGGCGTGGTGAGATTGGTGCCTCCCTTGAGGCCACCTCCGAAGCCGCCATGGATCCTTTGATGAAAGGGAGCAATAAGTCGGGCCAACGACAATAAAAAGAGGCGCTTGTTGGGAGGCAACCCAATGGTGTGCATGGTTCGACAACTTCCTCTGCATTGACTAAGGTGAACTCGTTTCTTTTACCTCCGTTTGTATTTCTTGTGTGTTTATTTGAGTGTCGATGATATATGCAAACTCTAAGTTTGGGGAGGTGGTTTATTGGTGAGCATTCATGTTTTATTATGTGATTATATTTATGCCCCTTAGAGTTTGAGTCTTAGATTGATTGCATGATATTTGTTTGTGTGTGAGATTGAGATTGCATGTACGTGGAATTTTGCGATGATGACATGAGAGTCGATATGGACTTATTGTGCTAGTTTAAATGACTTGAATTAATTATATTTGGTTAAATTCTTAAGGTGTTTTTATTTTGGGGACAAAGGCATGATGGTTGATATTTTTGTGATTCATTTGTGGTGAGTTGGTTTTGAGGCGACTTGTATTGTTGATATGTGCTTTTGATTGCTTTAATCAATGTTGATTAAGTTTGGGGACTTGAAGTTGAAAGTTGGGGTTTCTGTGTCTCATAGTCGAAAAAAAAGAATAATGAGGATGGAGGAATAATTGTTGGAGTTGAAAAGCCGTTTGGCACAAAAAAAAAAAA